AATAGAGAAATTGATGAACTAGATAGCACAAATACCAACGGTTGCTTAATGAGATGAAAATTAGTTGTCCTTGTTAGTAGTCTCAGTTTATGTTCTTCAATTTGAGTAATTACAGTTTATATTCTGCCTCTTAAATTCATAGTTGCTTGTTGTTGGTTGAGTTTTACACAAATTGAGTTCCAACTATAATAAATGGTATCAGAGCAGCTAAAATCCTTGGATGTCTCTCGATTGGATATCCTCAGGGAAGATTTTGATAGAATTAATGAGAAGATGATTTCAATGTTGACTGAACTTATTGAAGCTAAATCAGCCTCTAGAGATGAGTCCAACCATTACAGTTCTTGTGCAGCCGAGGCTTCGGATGTGTAAATGGGCGATTCGGGTATTGCATCAAAAGAGGGCCTAGTCAAGCAGGTTAGTTCGTTCGATTTGAGCATAGATGATGATTCAGTTGCTGTAATTACCAAGCATGTTGTTGAGATAGAAACTATCGTGGAAGGTAGTTTTGAAAAGTTGGAATCTGATTTAGGCGTTGAGAAGGATATAAATCTGGGTATTGATGTGCCTGCTTCTGGTGGTAATTTAAGTCAATACGCTCAATGTATGCCATAGTATATGGGAAATACCAAGCTTCCTGAGGTTAATTTTCCCCACTTTAGAGGATAAGGACCTAGTGAATGGCTTAGGAAGGCTAGGAAATACTTGTAGATACACCAAGTCCCTAACGAACTTAGGGTAGGAGTTGCAAAGATGTATTTGGAAGGGAATGCTTATGTATGGTTTTATGGCTTCATCTTCAACCATCCCAATGCTAATTTGGACATGTTTTCAAGGAAGGTTTGTAGACGATTGCTGAAAATTAAGATGAGGAAGAAGATATAGAAATGGAAAATGATGAAACTGAGATCTGACTCTTAGCAATGGTAATCATCATGAAAATGAGGCTGCAGTTACTAATGCTTCGAAGGTCGAAGGGAAAAGAAGTGGCAATGTGGCATTTTCTAGGAAAGCTCAACTTGAACGACTACTAGAATGCAATGGAGATGAAGTTCTAAAGGCAGAAGGTGGTACCAAGGTCCGGAAGTTCACAGAGTGGGCTCTTAAATGTTCAAGTGTCCACTCTCATTGCCAGGAAAATAGAGATGAAGTGGGATTCTACCACCGCGATTCAGCTACATCTATCTGCTTTTCAAGCCATTGTAGATCTTACTAGAAACCATCTTACAGGGAAGGATTTTACCGAAACAATTGATGCAGAATGCTTCCGTTATCCACTTTTCTTTAGTTTAATTGATCATGATTGGGCATCTGGTATATCGACCACTTCTATCCAAAGGTTATTGGGCATGCTGGTTGAAGGTGGGGCAAATAATGTCAACCAAGCATATGTCGCTTTGAACTACTTGCTTAATCCAAGGATGGTTAAGAGAATGAGGCAACGACTAACAACATACAAAGAAGATGTTCCAACTTTGAACTTTGAGGACAAGGTTAATTTAAGGGAAAGGGATGTCATAGATTGGGCCATTATTATATTATCTAGTTGGGCTTGTATAGTGGGCTAGTCCAAAGCCCTGTTTTGTTCTATATAGGGTTGAATTTGGACGACGATGAAGGGGATGAAAATTGGAAAATTGATTCGTGCTCTTTCGTCTTCTCCTCCTTCTCTCCCCGTCTGCTCCTTCTCCAGTATTCTTCGTTGTTTCTCCTGCAGATCCTTCTCTTCAATTGTTCTTCTCTTCTTCTTCTGTTGTTCTGTTTTTCCTCTCTTCTGTTGAATTTCTTGCTTTTTTCTTCCTCTGCTGGTCTATCTCTTTCTCTTATATAATTGTCTGTTACTTGTAATTTCCTGCATTGTAATAGAATTGTTTATTAATGAGATGAAAATTAGTTGTCCTTGTTAGTAGTCTCGGTTTATGTTCTTCAATTTGAGTAATTACAGTTTATATTCAGTTTATATTATGCCTATTCAATTCATAGTTGCTTGTTATTGGTAGAGTTTTGCACAAATTGAGTTCCAACCATAACAAATATATGTTGTCTCATTATATCATAGTATATTGACATCAATAGTGGGAGTATAATTAATTTAATAAAAGACCATGTTAAATTAATTGATACATTTTATGTATTATTCTTTTACTTTTCATCATTTATATTTATTGAATTATGAGTAATCATATGTATTTGAGAGGCATACTAAATACCAACAACCAAACAAGTCTTCTTGACTGGCACTACAATCTGAGAATTGTTCTCAAATATGAGAAAATTGATTATGTCCTTGGGTAGCCCTTTCTAGAGACACCAGCTGATGAGTCGACTAAGGAATATGTGGCTGCTATAATAACACATTGATAACGATAATACTATAGTATATGTGATGCTTGCACTATGTCACCTGAATTATAAAAGCAACATGAGGGTATAGATGATAACACGTGATTTTTATCTAAAAGAGTTGTATGATGAATAATTGTGTATGGAAGGATATGAGATTTCTAAGCAAATATACTGATGCTAAACGACGAGGGATCTTAAGTCAGTGCTCATATACTGAAGATGATTCGCATTGAGAAGTTGTCTCTCAATTTAGTTCGATCATGGACCATGAACTAAGATTGATTTAGTTCTACAATCTCTACCAGAGAGTTATTTATTGCTAATTATGAATTTTGATATAAAAAAGTCGAGTGCACTCTCATTGAGTTGCTGAACACGCTTAAAATTGTTAAGTCCAATATCAAAGTTAGTAGTGGGTAATCCATTGACTCCTCCAAGGTAACTAAAATGAAGGCTAAAGGGGCTTTCGGAAAGCATCTAAGATGGCTAAGACAGTCAAAGTAAATAAGGACATTATCAAGTCTGATGACTCTTGATGTCATCATGGAATGTAAGGTCATTGAAAGAAAAATTGCAAGACTTATATCTACTTCATTAGTTTATTGGGTATTAGATACCATATATGGATCTTATATTTATATAAATATGCAGAAACTAAATAGAAGTAGACTATTGAAAAAGGAGAGAAGTTGACCTGCACGTTGAAAATGAGCAAATGTTGCTGCATTGCCTATATGAGCATACTTCCTACCATTGCCTTTGCGCTTAGTACTAGAATTAGAAAAAATGTTATTATGTTCTCACCATTACCAAGAACATGATTTAAATTTCATGTTTGGACATCAATTTTTTAAGGTTAAGGACAATTGTTGTTCCTTTT